GCAAACTGAAATCTTCCATGCTCGGCTGCAACTTGCACCCAAAGTGCTTTCTAATGGCCAATGATGCCTCCAGAATCTGCATTATCACAGATAATACTTTATTATTTTCAGCAAATATGCATAGGATTAAAGCTACATAATAATTATGGCCCCAAACTATAGCATTCAGACCCGACGGGTGTACTTGGAAGCAAAATTAGCCCATATTTTCAGTCTCATGGAGACTCATCTGTTTGTATGAGTTTTAGTTAAAGTCATATGTAAGTTTTCCACACTTTCCCGTTTGTGTGATTTAGTTTCTGTGCCGTAGCAATTCAAAAAGTATATAAAACAACAAAGTGTGTTTCACTAATTTTCCCATCTTTATGGGAAAGCGTCTGACATGAACACACTGAATAACATCAGATGTTTAAACAAGTTAAAGATTGAGAGCTGTAATGTGCAGCACCACCACAACGAGTGGTAAAATATATGAGCCTGAGTTACTTTTTCACTCGTGCTTGTTACGATCAAATCGAAACATTTACAAAATGTCTGCAACGTCTGTGTCGTGGTTCTGGGTCCTTTTAACCCAGCATTTTGAGTTAGTTAATATTTTGTAGTATGGTTTATGTTCTGGTTCATTAGTAGTCCTAGTTATGCTGTTTTGAGTTTCCTATATTCCCTGTTTAGCTCCTCTGTGTCTCTGTTTATATCCGTTTGTGAGTCCTTGTGTCTTGTTTCGCTCCTTATGTTTCGTTGCATGTTCCCCTGTCTATCATGTTTATCCATGTTCCCCTCGTGTTTCCTCGTGTTCCCTCGCTCCCTCTCATCTGCCTTTTCTCCACTCCAGTGTCAGTCTTGTGTTCGTTTCCTGTTTTATTGTGAAAGTCTTGCGTTCCATGTTCAGTGTGTTTAGTTTTGCTTCCTCGTGTCTAATTTGTCTCCGCTGTGTTCCCATGTGTTTCCTGTTCCCTCATCATCCTATTGTGTATTTAAGCCCCGTGTTTCCCTCTGTCCAGTGTCGCGTTCTCCCTCATGGTTGTGTGTTATTCTGTTTGCCTCCACATGTGTTTAGTTCTTATCATTTCCCACTGTTGTTTTGTATTTCCATTTACTTAATAACGCTGTGTTATATGTTATCTGCATTTGCGTCCTTTCACAGCCAGTTCACGACAGTTTCTCTCATGCAGACAAAGTTGATAACCACCTTTGTGACATCCATCATCTCTGACTGGGATTTAAGGTTTTATCGAGCCAGCTAATGCTAACAAAGTCTGACTATGTTGAACTTCATTGAACGGCTGCAGGAACATAACCTGCAGGATTATCAAAAGCAACCAGCTGAATAACAGCTGTGTGCACGTAGTGTAGTCCTATAAAACCTGCGTGTTGCTCCACTGGTGCTTGGATTTGTGAGGTTAGTGGGATTTTAAAAAAAAGAAAGAGCTAAACTGGTTCGTCTTAAATTTGCCTGTGACTTGTAAGAGATTAGTATCTTAAGCTGCATCTTAGGCCATTTTGTAGTGTTTTTGTGTATTTAGGAACACAGATCAATCTGCTGTGTGGATGTTGTAAGTCTATACTGCATGATAAATGCACACTGTGTTCCACTGATATGAGCTTTACGGAGACAATCGGTCTTAAAAAGGCATGACAGGAACTGTTTGTGTGCAAATATTTATAGCAAAGATTATGCTGCTTAAAAGAGATTATGTTTTTCCATCATGTCCGCAACTTCTCACAATGACCAGGATCTGCGCATTGTGAGCACATGCAGGGTCAAGCTGCCTTCCCATCACCCCATCTGCCCCACAGTCGTCCCACTAATCCTCTTCCATCAGCACTGTTACCACAATGTGTGAAAAGCAGCTGCGATTACAGGACATCTGCGATGTCAACAAACCACAACCAGTGACATAATTGGTCCGCAGCCGCAGTGCTCTTCAGTCACATGTTGTTTTCTTTCAGGGTTAATTAGCTGGGTGCTTTTTGATGTCATTTTACTTTAAAACATTTTAGGCATTTTAATAGTTACATGCTCATTATTATCACTGGCATCGGTCCTGGGTATCTATTGTAGTAATGACGTTACGCTGACCCTGCTGTTAAAGTAATCCTGTCTCACTAAGACTGAAGGCAAATTGTTTTGAGCTCAGACGACCTCAGGAAACATCAGATCTATACTGAGGTATTAGTGAAATACCACAATAAAGTGACCTAGAGGTGAAATGTTAAGTCAGCTAAACATAAACTAGTAACCAAGATAAGCAACAATGCCAAATAATCACCGGGTACAACCTTTGAGATGTGAGCGTGATTTTTTTTGGTGGGCATCTATCAGATCTTCGTCATATTTACTCTGCTCCCAAAAAATTACAGGAAAACTTTGAAATCCTCCTGGATATCTACTGAATACTGATAAGGACAGGATGATGTGTTAGGAACAGAAGGATGCTGTGTTGTTTCAAAGAAAAGAAAGAGCTGAATTTAAAGACACCCTAAAAACTGAAGTGAAAAGTGATGCAGCAGGCGAGTCTGCTGAAGCTTCATCTAATCGACCCCGAACACCTAGATGATATAGTCGACGCACTACGTCTGCACACATGTACTTAAAATGTTTTATTTTTGTGTTTCAGTCCTGAGATGAGTCCGCTGAAGTCTGTGCCTCAGATTAGAATAGACATGGACCCAGACGATGATAACACTTTCTACTGGAAGAGCAGAGGATCCGAAACATCTCTGTAGATCTCCACCAACCTGCAGCACAACTTGCTTTTTACTGACCTTCGGTGATTCTTTTAACTCCGATCTCCTTCATGACTTCAAGACTTTGTTGTGAAGAGCGGCACGCTTTAGAAAAGCATTACGCTGCACGCTCTATGGTCTTTCCTCACCACGTTTCTCTCACAGCTCCACAGCTAGTCTTTGCTTACAAAAGTAACCCCTGAATATTCTTCTATGCAACTCCTCCTACGCATCACCGACCGAGGCTGCAGCTCACTCTGACCACGCATGGACCTGCTCTTTTTATATAAACATATACAAATATCATCTGTCTGAGTTTTTATATAAACCGAATTATTCTAATAACATTTTCCTGTAGCAGGAAAATCATGTTTTTATAGCTCTACCTCTTGTTTTAGATTCAGTGCTTATCATGAATGATTGCAATGTGTTGATTTTTGATGGGGTTTTGATATTTTCTCTCTGTCCTCTTGTAGAAATGATTCACACAGATTCACTCTATGATCATAGCTTGTGAAGGAAATACAGTAGATATTTAAGTAAATTAATAGCAGATTAACAAAGCACATTTGTATGTGCAGATGAGGAAAATATTTTTATTCTCACTTTGTGATGCAGTTTTACTTGCTTCAGTTTCTAGTTTTCTGAATCTTTGACTCTTTTGCTTTTGTTACTCGTTTAATTTAAATCATTTTCTTCTTTTGTTTTGCTTTAAAAAAAAAGATTTTATTGTGTGTGTGTAACATTAATTATTTTTTTTCTGTTCGAGTAGAAAACAATCCAGCGACATAATCATCCGATTTTCCTCCGCCAAACTTAAACTCTAACTAGAAATGCATATCATAATAATTACTTTTGCTGCACAAAGTACTTTACCTAAGTGGCTTATAAGAGATTGATTCTTAAAGTAACAATGTGAAAAAGAGGAGACGGGAATCAAATCCACGCCAGCTCAGTTCGGTTCACGGCAGGTTTTCTTTGTTTTTCTCAGCTGTTTTTGGAATTATCTGATGATGTGAAGACGTTTTTCATAAGGATGTGTTTGGGCTGTAATACAACGGTCACATGCCATCTGTGCTTACATTCAGAGACTTATTGGTCGGTGTTATGCAATCCTATCTTCTTCAAATCCACACAAAGACCCGTGCGCACGTCAGCTGTTAAACATGTCTTTGAGTCTCTGATTGCTGGTCAGTGTTTGACTCAGTTTTCTTCACTTTAACTCAAATTTCTCATCACCAGGCAAAGCATTTTAATTTTGGCCCCCATAATAAACTTGCTGAGCTTGTAGAGTGCGCACAGGGCATGTGAGTGTTATGTTTAACCCACACACATCCTTTAAACAGTTGTTAAAACATCATGTCAGTGAGGCAGAAGATGCACAAACTCCATATTTGCTCCAATGTTTTAACTTCAGACGGTTTCCCACAGAATGACCACGTGCATCTCTCTGACTGCTCGTCTGTTTTTGGCCAGTTATAAAGGATAATTCAGGTTTATGTGAACTTATATTACATGAATGTGGCTGCTGTGTGGGTCGCGCTAACTTTGAACTCTTCCCTTCTGCTGTAGTAATCAGGCAGGAAACAGAAGTTGTATTTAGAGAAATACAAGCTCCAAAGGTTGTTTGGAAAAACAAAATTGCAGCTGACCCATTATGCATCAGCTGTAGGTTTCTTGGTATATACAAAGAAAAATGTTCTTTTCTTCAGTGCAAAAACATTTTACAATTTCCCCCAAACTGCAGTAAGTATCTCACTGAAACAACTGAAAGCAAAGTGCTCTGCTCCTCGTACAGGTAATTAAGTAAAAAGAGCTGCTGTACACCCACTTTCACCTGACATGCATTTTACTTTAGCAGCTTTGTTATATAATTTCCCATCAAAATAACTGGTGGGAAATTATAATAATAACTCCATCAGATAGCAGGACATACAGGTGGATGTAGACCCTGTGCATCTTTAACATACTTATTCCTGGAGATTACAGATTACCTTTGCATGGTAAGATAAATAATGCATATTTATCTTACAGTAGTCATTACTGTTTGAAACAAGTAGTTTTAGCCTCAGTTCTCCACGTCTGAAGAAAGTAACTGGATGACTCTCATAAGCAAAGAAAAACAACAACAGCACAAAAGAGCCGCTTTAAATGTTGAACGACACACTCTTGCAGTTTGATCCAAACAATAGACACAAAAAGCTTTTACATGCTGTTTTCTGTTTTTGTTTTGTCTCTGTGGTGAAGATGGAGCTCAAAGTTGGCATGACCCACATTAAAAGGTTAAAAATAACCCACGGTTATCTTTTAACTCCAGTACAGCGATCGACACCATCTCCCCACTGAATCTCTAATGGGTGCACTGAAGCACTTTCTCACTTTTTTCATTTTAATTTGAAACCTCCGGGCCTCTGTACGGATCGCCACGGTAGAGATTTCAAAGACGTAGATAAGAGTCATGACATACTTAATATTCCACCTCAGTATTTACGGCTGTCAGCAGCGGCGAGTGGAAACGAATGTGAGTCAGCGCCCGGGACATCTTCTGTGGGGAGTGGTTAGTTTAAAGTGTGATTCTGTGTAAGTGTGTCGGACAAAAACCTACAACACGACGTGAAAATCTTCTGTTAATCCTAGTGTTCGGAATACTGATGCAATTTTTTTTTATTATTATTAACATTTTGTGACTTTAGAATAGGTGAAATTGTTTATTTTAGAATTTATATTTTTCAAATGAAATGTATATTGGAAATAAAGAGAATTATCAAACAGCACTCGAGTGCTCGTCAGTCTGATGTTGGGGATAATTAAAGTGTTCCATATTGAAAAGCCAGCATAATTACATTTAATGTCACATTTATGAACTGAAACTATTTGAGGATTATTTATGTTAAAGTAAATTTAAGTCACTATTTTGTGATTTAACAAACAAGTGAAACCTGAATAACTGAGTCACTGCTCTTTAAACCTTCCTTCAGAACAATCATCAGAAACCACTTTTACTCTGGATAAAAAAAGTCTGAGGTGAATGGTTGCTGACAGTTAATGATTTTGCATTTTTGCCTTTTGAACATTAGTTAAAAAATCTCTTTTAATCTCTTTAAGACACATAAAAAGTTCAAGGACATTCATCAGACATTAGACATGTACATTTACTTGAATTACAAGTGCTCATGGACTATATCCCCCATAATGCAATGCACCAAGAAGCTGGCAGACCTGAAGCACTCACTAGAAAACACCTTAAAATAATAGTCTGTAAAAAAAATATATATATATATATATATATGATGGTGCTGGAAGGGTCCTCTTTGCACAGGTTTTTGATTTTACTCACCATTACTGATTATGTAACTCCCTCTACTGTCAGCTCAACGCTATTAAGGACTATAGTACAGATGTTTCAATAAAAGAGCAGTGTGTGTGTGTGTGTGTGTACTTTTGAAGGCTCAGTAGTAGTTGTTGGCTATCTAATTTAAAAGTTTCATAATACTGTAAATACTGCACTTGGTGGTACAGTTTTTCTTAGTTATCAAAGTTCAAAACAGTATGTGCTGACAAGAGAACAGTACTGAAAAGTGTAAAAAGACCCAGACAGCACAGGAAGATGCAGAAGAAGAGATGCTTCTTCACTCACCTTTTTGCTCACCATGTGTTTACACACCACTCTGCATCTAACCATTAGTTGTTATCAATCTCTGTCTCTCTTCCAAAACTGTCTTCTGACCATAAACAACATAATGTCATTGTTCATGTACGATGACAATAGAGGGCTCTTCTATTCTGTCACTTCAGCTACAGTTTAAAATATCTGCAGGTCATTTTCAGAGCAGCTTCGAAGCTCCCGTTGGCTCTGTAACAAAAGGCCAACAGTGCTCTCAGATGTCAGCTAATTATTCTACACAGAGTGTAAGAGGCGCTGCAGCTTATCCACCTCATCAGCATTTAGAAACACCATCAAAACAAAGCACTAATCAGCAATGTGTGATTCCTGCTCTCCCATGTAATCAGGGCCTTCCGGTTCATTAGCAGACATGCAGAGATAATTACAGAATTACATGAAAAGCATGATTTCACGTCAACTTTGATACTGTGTCAGAGGTTATAAAAAGGTAACTGCTCACTGTTTCCACTAGGGGGCTATAAAGAGCTGTGGTAGAGATAAAAAGCACCGGTGAGGATGAAGCTGCATTCAGCTGGAAGCAGGTTGAAGGGAAAATAGGTAAAAAAAATACAGCTAGACTTATTCTGACAAGACTTGTAGCTGAAGACTATAATTTATGTTAAATTGCTGCGTGAGCAATCATGGTAGTTTGCTGCCAAGTGAAAGAGACAGGAAAAAGTCCATTAAATGAGCTGAATAGAATTAAATCATAGCTTGACATGAGCCGTCTTTCAGATGAAAGAGTACATTTCTAGAAAGTGCAGCAGACATGGATGTAACAGTAACTTTATCACAAACCTGGTCATGGTGTGACCGCAAAAACTGTGCAGATCAAACAGAAACCAACAGGTCACAGTTTGAAATCTCAGTATCTACTGGGACTGGCATTATATCAGAGTTAGAATTTATTAGTTAATTTCCTCCACACTTCACACACTACAGGTATTTTCATACTGGAAATACCTGGAAAGAGCAGCAGCATACCATCAACTCAGAGAGTTTTCTTCACATATCTTTGAATTTTGTTTCTGATTTGTTGAGGGGCCAGCACGCCTCATGTATTCACCGTTACGTGAATTCCCTAGAGAATGAGTAGATTGTCCATCGGATCAGTGTTGGGCAAGTTACTTTGAAAAAGTAATTAATTATAGTTGCTAGTTACTTCTTCAAAAAAGTGGCTCCTATCCCCAAAGCCGCCTCCTATCCGCCGCATAAATGTCCTTGCGCTTTTACACCAGTCTTCACGGTAGCGCCTTTTCGCTTTATATCCTGATTGAAAGCCTAGACTCGCGCACACGTGCGCGCGCGCGAACAGTCACACGCGCGCGCGCGCACACAAATTACAACTTTGTGTCCTTCTCTGGGACACCTACTGTACCTGTGTGCCAAGTTTCATCCAGATTCACTGTAAAATTCCTCAGAAATTAAAGGACATTTATATGCAATTCAATGCAGCCAATACACTACAATTATGTAAATTTCGAAAATTCATTAAAAATCATCCTGAGTAGTTGAGGAATCTGTTGAAAGTTGGACCTCAACTATTCTGGAAAAGGCGCTACCGTAAAGACTGGTGTAAAAGCGCAAGGACATTTATGCGGCGGATAGGAGGCGGCTGGCTTGACCGCGGCTCACAAATGACGGCTCACTTTACGCGGTCCCATGTTACTTACATAGACAGCAACCTCCGCGCAGCTGATATAAGATGCGGTAACCTGAAGACAGCTTCAAACGTCTGTTTGTTGAAAAATAGTAATGCGACCGCATTTTCTTGTTAGTAATGGTACGGCGTTGTAACGATAGAAATAGTAATTAGATTACTCGTTACTGAAAAAAGTAACGCCGTTATTCCCATCACTGCATAGGATGTATACATGTATACAACAAAAAGGAGGAGGCAGCTGCCATGTCCTGACAGTGAAGGCAAGGGCATGAACCTTGCATTCTTCTTTATGGCCAGCAGGGGGCGACTCCTCTGGCTGCAAAAAGAAGTCCAGTTATGCAGACGTTTGTGCAAATGATGGCTCTCAGCTCTATGACCTCACTAAACATCTTCTTCATGGCATATGGTGTCAGTCACTCCTTTCAAGTCATGTTGAATACAACATGGATCTCATTCAGTAAGTTATGGCGCCCGTTAGAGTCGCCTCGTGATTTATATGTTGCTAAATGATCATGTAGTGTTCCTCAGTTAAAAAAAACCCCTAAATAACTAACCTACTAACTAACTAACTAACTAAAAAAATTGTAAAAGGCTCATTTTAATCCTGGAGTGGCATGTGGACCTTTAGCAGTGTTACTGGTGTGATGGGTGTCTTTTAGCACAGAGTACAGGTTGTAACCGAGCAGATTTCAGTGGCTGAACATGAGCACAGGCTCCACAGGAGAAGAGAGGTGACACTTGAGTTGGGGAGCGAGAGCAGGATCCACCCACACGAATAACACAGTCCTTCTAGCTGTGTGTCTGGGGTAAAATAATATTATTTTACTTTTGTACATGCAGTACTGGTGTGCATTTTGAGCTACAAGAACATTTGTGGACAAATGCAGCAGTCTGATTGGTCAGATTTGCTTATTTGCATTCGACAAAACAAAACAAAAAAACATCAACCTTGGTCAGAAAAAATAAATGCTGCAAATCCATCCAAACTTCTGCGGTTCAACTGAATTTTTAACACTGAACATATTCACACAGATCCTGTGTGTGAAAGGCCTTTAAAGCTATGATCAGAGACCATAAACACATGAAAAACGTGATGATCGAGGGCACACTTTAAAGGGTTTTTTTCCTACAGACTTCTAAACAATCGGACTTATTCCTGCAACCAGAGTCGCTGCCTCCTGCTGGCCATGAGAAAGAATGCAGGTTTAAAACATTTTTGCACTGATTGAACTTTCCAGACGCTGAAGCTTTGTTGTCCAGTGTTGATGCTCATCATTTTTACTTTCATGATGAGAACTGACACAGCCTCATAAAAAACCAGCTCATTCTCTTTAATGTGTTAAAATTGGAAGCTCATTGTGTGGCAGGTTGGGAGTAACAAAAACGAGGTATACCCGCAGAGAGGATGAGTATAAGCTCTATAAACATAAACTCTATTATTAAGACGTTGTGTCCCTTCACCGGAGGAAACCGGGTGATTAATCGCAGTGCACGAGTGATCGGTCACATCTTAATCAGTATGTGTTTGCCTGCTGACGTCAGGATATTTCACTGTTGTGTGAACACAGACCAACACTGACAAGGAAGCATTCAAGAAGAGGAACATTTTGTGACCGATTTAACAATAAATTCATGGTTGTTCTTACAGCACAGCTATTTCAAGGTTCAATGTTCTGTAACTACAAAGGACAAACAACAACAGAGTGCAAGGTTTAGGACCTGAATGATTTGCAGGACGAGCTTCAGTTTGCACGTTTCTTTTAGAAATGTGCATTTGAGCCTCGGTTCGATTCTCCATTTACAGTAGTGACATAACTAAGTGTGCAGTTTTTATACAGTAGCTTGAAGCACAAAGGAACTACCTTCTGACAATAGTGCAGGTTCGCCCTTTGTCTGTATGTGGAATTGTTATATTGATGTCTTTGATCCTGAAACAACCGAGCTGTTTCAATAAAAGGACTGAACTGAACTTTAGTATTTTGTACAAAAGCACTGAAAATCAAGCCTGCTGCAGCAGGACGTCTTTCTACTATATTTATATTAATTAATTCAGGAAATTACAATGTAGTGATTACAAGTGCAAAATCACAATAAAATCAAAGCCAACCGTGATAGAAAGAACAAAAATGAATGGGCTGCAAATGACGCACACGACTTTACAGGAAGTTTCCTTCATTATGATTCAGCTGTTGTTTTGTTGTCTGCTTAGCTTCCTTAATCTTCCTCCTCAGCTCTTCATTTGCTCTGCTCTGTCACTCACAATATGAAGGCTCAATTATAACCTAACTGCAGTCAACAATTAGTTTATTGACAGGTTAAATTCAGATGAAATTAGTTTGGACATTTTTGGCTTCACAGCATCCTCAGTTTCCATCTCTCCTGTCTGTCTTTCTGTTACCAATAAGGGCTCTATGAACCCTTCCAGTATGGCTTCCATACACACTGCA